CTTTGGGTGGTTGATCTCCTGGGGACTGCAGGGGGGGCACTAATGCCCACTCCCCTCACCACTAGATGGCGCAGCTGCTGTGATGAGCTGACAGAGCTGCTGTGCGCCCCTTTCTAGAGGGTCCCCTGGAGTGGGGGCTCCTAAGACCTCTCTGCCCTAGGCACCTCTTGGCCCTAATAACCAGTCCCAGTTGTCTATCTTGTTGAGATCTGGGACCAGAGATAGACGCGTGTCCCCCAGCTCTGGCTTCTCAGGAGGAGCTGGTCACAGACACAGTTGCCTCCTTTTTGTGTTGGTCCCCACTCCGTGTCCCTTCTCTGGAGGCCCAGTGGTGTACCATGGCTCCACCTCCTTCCTCTGACTAACCAGAAGGATTTCAGAAAAGGCATCTCTGAGCTCGACTTCTTCACTCTGCTCTTGAGGGTCTAGAAGGAGTTGACTCTGAGCAGATGCTTGTCTGAGATCACACGCAAAGACCTTGGACACTGGGACTCCCTGCCCATCTCAGTCACAGCCATTTCTCCCTTGCCAGAATGGGGGCACACTTGCAAAACCATCACTGGTTCTCTCGTAGCTATAGCAAACAACAGCCTAAAGGCTGCCCATCAGCATAAGTTCCACTGAGGGCTGTTTTGGCCACTGGAAGCAAGTTGAAATGTGACCATGGGAGGATAAGCTGTGCAAGTGTGAGTGTGGGTGTGAGTGTGTTTGTGTAAATGAGTGTATGTGTGTGTGTGAGTGAGTGTCTGGTTGTGTGTATCTTGTTAACATTTTGCCCATTTTTCTCTTTCTTTTTGCCCTAAGCCTGTCTGCTTCCAAGTATCTCTGAGCTTTCCACAGCTGTGCCACCTTGAGAAGCCACTGAGTCTCATGAATGCTACCTTCCTGATTAGAATTCCATGACATGTCAGCCTCTGCTGGATGGCGTTATAACCTTTGCCCTCTGAAGGAAACATTTGCTAAGCAGAGAGAGTTGGTGAACAAGGTCCTTAAGGGGTAAGAGCTGCTCCTCAGCCTCCAGTGGAATCCGCCTGTCTCTGCTGGTTTCCGCATCACATTACTGGCCAGGTCAGAGCCAAGGCACACCTAGTTTTGAATAAAGCCCAGTCAGGTCGCCTTTCAGCACCTGGTCAGAGCTGACCTTAGACTTACCCTGGGTTTCTTTAGGGATGGCTTGATCAGTTCATGGTGGTGAACCCCCTACCCAGAGCCACCTAAAATGAGGGGATGTGGGGTACCAGGTTATGCCGCACCACACCAGGCGCTGAGTGGGAAGCCCCAGAGAGCTGCCATAATTAAAACAAACAAAAAGAACAACCATGCATCCATAGAGCCGGCACCTTGTACAGTCCCACTGGTGCAGTACCTACATGTTTGTGTATGTGCTTTCTGCCTGTCTGGGGCCACTGAGCTCTTTAGATGGTGGCCTCCTCTCCTGAAGAGAGCCCAGAAAGGCAGGACCAGCCTGATCACCCCCGCTTGCCACCAGTACCTGCAGAGTCCCCAGCCTCCTGTGGCCCTGGCAGTGTGTGATGATCTTTATGCCCCAGCAAGTGTCCCCAGGCAGGACAGTCAGACCATGTGACAGCTCTCCCCACCCAGCTCCATCATCCCACCAGGTCTCCAGCATCTGCTGTGGGCCTCAGGATGGAGGCTTATTAATACTGGGGATGGAAGCAAGGCTGTTCCCCAGGGGCTATCTTGGCCCTGGGATCAGCCTGGAGCTCTGCTTAGGAGCAACCAGCTCTCCTTTTGAGTTATAGGCTTTGTTTAGAATTGGGCAGGGTCCCCAATGCCTGGTTAGGCAATGGCAGCTCTCCCAGGGCCCCACATAGCCACACCGTTAGCACTTAGCTGCCAGAGCCTTCCAAGCAGGGCCTTCGCAAGATGGGTGTCTCGGGCAGCTGGCAGCACATGAGAAGGCCAGAGCTGACGCAGTGCTTTCCATGGTTCCTGGAGCCTTCTGCCATGGTCTTGAGAAGGGATGCAGGCAGTCAGGGGGGCAGGTTCTGGGGGCAGGTTTGAACAGCAGGGTTCTCAGGAAGGGGCTGTGGACCCAGGCCCATGGTTGGTGACCATGTGGAGAGAGGGACCAGGAGTGTCTCCTGGGTTCCACACAGGCCACAGAGGCAGGAGGATCCGGGGAGAAATCCTGAAGCTGGCACAGCCTGGAGGTGACGAGAAGGACCCTTCCAGAGGGCCCCCCCTCAATCCTGTTGTGCTTGATTCAGAGGGTTGGGTGGAGGCTCTCCTGAAGGGCTCTGAGGAGCACCACGCCCACAGGCACCCAACAGGGATGGAGGTAGAACAGCTGGTGCAAGAGGAAGGCCACCGTTCTCCGCCTGGTCCCCCACAGCAGCCAGAGGGCATGAGGCCTCACCAAGTTCCACATCCTGGCCATGAGCACTACAAGACCCAGCGCCACCCACGCCCATGCTGCTCCCCTTCCCAAGGGTCTTCTTATCCTCACCACCACCTCCCAGGGAAGCCTCTCCTCTTCCAGGCTTCACAGCCCCTGGGCCTGGGTCTCTTTCTGGATGTTTTCTCTGTTATCTACCCCTGCTGGACTCAGCTCCAGGCCAAGGTCATTGCTGCTTGTGGATTGTTATGTTGTCCAGTTTGTCTTCATACAGGTACACAGTAGGCACCTAATAAATATGTGCAGAAAGAGCAACAGATGTCTTTCTTTTTTATTTGTTCTTCGTAAAGTCCAGCTCTGCTTACTGGAATTCTACGTCAACTGCATAGTGTTGTCTTTCTCACTTGGCTTTTCGGGGGGGGTGCACTGGAAATGTGACAGCCCCTCCTGCCACCCAGACCCATCCCTGTGCTCCTTTCTCCGCACAGCACACATGGAGTTGCACTGACCTCATGCACATCTACCCCATGAGACCAAAACCCAAAAGGGCAGGTCTTTTTCCCACACTTAGAGCCAGATGGGTATTCAGGCGACTACTGAACAGACAGGCAGATGAATAGCAACAAGATGTGGAGATGTGAGGAAGCCAACTGGTATGGCAGAAGCAGGGCAGCATCCGACTTCTCCCTGAGTGGATGAGGCCTGGTGGGAGCCTCTGGGCATGGCCCAGAGAAGTCATGGTGCAAAGGTGTCCCCACAGTTGTATGGAGGGCAGAAGCAGGTGAGGCTCCCTCCCACGGGAGCCAGTGAGAGGCCTGCAGGAGCATCGGCCTGCCACCTGTCGTGAGAACACCTCTCAACACCGACAGAATCCCAGGGGCTCCACAACTCCTGCCACCTTTAAGCACCCCTACCCCAGTGGCTGTGACTCCCTCGGGTTGGGGAAAGGGAGCAGAGAGGCGCTCCTGCAATGCCTGCTCTGCAGGAGAAGCAGCCAGGCCCAGGGTGTCTTCAGGAGACAGGCCAGAAACCACCAGCTGCCCTGTCCTCAGCCTGGGCCCCGTGCATTCTGCCAACCCAGTCCAGGGAGCCCCCCGGATGGAAAAGCCCTTGGGTGAATGGGACAAAAGGCCAGGGTCATGGGAAACAGCCAAGAAGTGAGAACAGAGACAGGGACATGGGCCCTAGAACAGCGGTGAGAAGGAGTGAGGCCTCCCGACCCTCACCCAATCCCCTTCCAGGTGCCCCCACTCCTAGGCTGCATCTCATCGCAGTTCTCACGAGTCCAGGACTGGAAGGTGAAGCCTTGCCCACCAGCACATGCCCTCCCCAGGCCTTGCAGCTTCCATCTCAGGAAAGCCCAGCGGGAACCCCGTTCCAAGGTGAACCTTCGTTCTGGTGGCTTCTGCCCACTCCTGGCTCCCGTTCGGCCATGGGTTCAGTCATCAGACACTGAGTACCTGCAAGTGCCTGGCTGTGTGTGGGGGTTGGATTGTGTTAGTCACCAAATGAGGAAAGAAGCCCTTACTTCTGACCTGGGGAGGAAGACCACGGCCGGCCACGAAGCAGGCCAGTTTCACAGCCTATTGTGAAATGACTGGCCCTGCAGGAAGGTAGAAGGACTAGGAAGAGGGTCATGAGCGGGAGGTTTCCTAGGGTTTCTGGCTTCCACATCTCAGGATGTCCACTCAGCACAGCTACCATTTGGGACTGGCTCATTCTCTGGTGGGGGCTGTCCTGGGCACTGGGATGTTTAGAGCATCCCTGGCCTTCCCCAATAGATGCCAGGAACCACCACTGCTCAGTCGTGACTGAAATGTCTCCAGACATTGCCCCATGTGCTCCGGGGAAAAGTCACCTGGAGTTGGACACTACTGGTGCCCATCAATTAGACAAATTTTACCTTGACCTGCTTACCCCAAAAGAAAAAAGACAGGTTCTTACCACACAGCCCACTGCCCTCTTTAGAGTGTAGCTAAATGCTGCTGCCCCAGGGCGGCTGACATGTGCAGAGGATGCTTAGCCTAACATAGAGCCTGGTGGATAGACAGACAGGATTCTCAATGGGTGTGAATCCAGGCGTGGAACATGCTTATCTTTCCCAGCTCTCTCCAGGGCCTGGGAGAGGCCTCGAAGCACCTGGGTCTTGATTTCTAGTGCCGTTCTGCATTAAAAAGAACCAGCTGTAAACAAACAGCTTATCTTCTTTTTTCCTTTTTGAGTTAGGGTCTCTTTCACTTAGGCTGGAGTGCAGTGTCACAATCACAGCTCACCATAGCCTCAATCTTCTGGGCTCAGGCAATCTTTCCACTTCAGCCTCCCCAGCATGTGGGACTACAAGCGTGCGCCACCACACCTGGCTAACTTTTTTATTTTTTATTTTCCACACAAATGATAACTTTATTGATGCCCAGCTGGGTGTTGCTTGCCCCTCCACATCAATACCTCCCCGTTTTGGCCATTACCACCATGGCACTGCTAGTTACTCTTCACAACTTGGTACACAACCTACATACTTCACAACCTACTCTATATACAACCTGATGACTGGCAGCAATCCCTACCAAGGGTGAGGAAGGATTCTCTTGTGATGGTGGCAGCTGTTTCAGGAGGCATGAGGCTAGGGCTGAGGTGTGCCACCTCAGCTGAGATGGAAGAGGTGAATGAAGGTGTTGATCAAGAAGAAAAGGAAACTGCCTCCACTCACATCGCTGAATACTGGGACCACACTGTTGGCCATGGTATGGTTTCCCAAGACTCTAGTTTGTATCTGTGTCACAACCAGGAGACTGATGGTGAGTAGGAGGAAGAGGAAGTCTTTCATCCTGAGCAGATCTTGGAGGCATTTTGAAGATAAGTGCAGGGCTGTCTCACTTTTTGATTTTTTTGTAGAGATGAGGTCTTGCCATGTCTCCCAGCCTGGTCTCGAACTCTTAGACTCAAGCAGTTCTTTCACCTTGGCCTCTGGAGTACTGGAATTACAGGTGTGAGTCATTGTACCTGGCCCGAAAATAGTTTATTGTTGGCCTGGGGCAATGTGTAGTGATAGGAAGGAAGTACTCAAACAAATCAATGGCAGCAGGTACCAGGGACTGGGTGGGTGGGTGGAGACTGAAGGAGCTCCCGGGCCACAGCTGGGGCAGTTCAGCCAGCAGAGTAGTATTGGATTGTAACCCACTACATAAAATAAATACCCATGTGTCCATACTGATATAAGTAATTGAATAAACAAGTAGATAGACAAACTTCTTGTACAGATGAATTCCAATTACTCAGGCAGTTGCTCTCCCCAAGGAGATAACGCGCAGCTCCCACCCCTGCAGTCAGGACAGTGCTTAGCGGCTTGCTTCCAAGGAGCACATAAGGGAAGGGGGAGGGGAAACTTTACAGTAGAGACCCCTTAGCCTGGCCATGAGGCCTGAATCGTCCGTGAGGTGGCCTGTACGTGGTGTGCACCCAGGATACAGCGTGCTGAGAAGGCCCTTCCCCACGTGGTCGCCCTTCCCCACGTGGTCTTCCTCCCCCAAACCCATCACCCAATCTAACCATGAAGCAAGCATCAGACCACCTAAATTGAGTGACATTCTATAAAATATCTGACTAGGACTCCTCAAAATGGTCAAGGTCATCAAAAACAAAGAAAATCTGAGAAACTGTCACAGCCAAGAGGAGCCTCAGGAGACATAATGGTTACATGTCCTGTGGGCTCTGGATGGAAACAGAATGAGGGCATTAGGGAAAAGCTAGTGAAGTCAGCATAACGCATGGAGTTCAGGGAATAATCAGTTCATCAGTTGTGACAAATGACATGGCAATGTCACAGTGGGATAAATGGTGCTGGGTACACAGGAGCTCTGGGCTGGCTTTGCAACTTTACTGTAAATTTAAAAGTTGTAAAATAAAGCGTTTATTTAAAATAAAATATTTGGATTAAAGACTTAAATGTAAGATGTGAAACTATAAAAATACTAGAAGAAAACCCAGGAAAAGCTTTCTGGACATTGGCCTTGGCAAAGAATTCATGACTAAGACCTCAAAAGCAAATGCAACAAAAATAAAAATAGACAAATGGGACTTAATTAAACTAAAAAGCTTCTGCATAGCAGAAGAAATAATCAAGAGTGAACAGACAACTCGAAGAATGGAAGAAAATATTTGCAAGCTGTTCATCTGACAAAGGAACTGTACCCAGAATCTACAAGGAACTCAAACATCTCAACAACAACAACATTTTAAAAACCAAGTAATTCCGTGCCTTTGGGAGGCTGAGGTGAGTGGATTGCCTGAGCCCGCGGGTTTGAGACCCATCTGGGCAGGCGAGACCTCATCTCTACAATAAATCAAAAAATTAGCCGGGTGTGGTAGTGTGCGCCTGTAATTCTGGCTACTTGGAAGACTGAGGCGGAAGGATTCCCAGAGCCTAGCAGGTTGGGGCTGCGGTGGCTGGGAGCGGCCACTGCACTCCAGTCTGGGCAACAGAGTGAGGCTCCAACTCAAAAAATAAATAAATAAATAAATAAATAAATAATAAAAAATAAAAACCAAGTAATCCCATTAAAATTAAAAGACATAAACAGACATTTTTCAAAAGGAGACATACAAATGGCCAACAAGCATTTGAAAAAATGCTCAACATCACTAATCACCAGAGAAATGCAGATTTAAACCACAATAATATCTCATCTAACACCCGTGAGAAAGAGTGTTATTAAAAGTCAAAAAATAACAGATGTTGGTGAAGATGTGGAGCAAAGGAAACACACACTGTTAGTGAGAATTTAAATTAGTACACCCTGTATGGAAAACAGCATGGCAATTTCTCAAATAACTAAAACCAGAGCCATCCTGCTACTGGGCATTACTCAAAGGACAAGAAATTGTACTAAAAAAATACGTGCCCCTGCATGTTTATCGCAGGACTATTCACAATAGCAAGGATATGGAGTCTACCTAAGTGTCTATCTGTGAACGATTAGATAAAGAGAACGTGGCAAGGAGACACTGTGGACTATTATTCAGCCATACAAAGTAGGAAATTATGTCTTTTGCAGCAATGCAGATGACACAAGGCTAGTGTCTTAAGTGAAACAATTCAAACATGCTACACATCCTCACTTAAGTGGGCGCTAAGGATGTGCACATATAGCATAAATAAACATAGAGAATAGAATCACAGGGACTGGAGACTCAGGAGGATGAGGGGTGAGGGATGGGAGGTTACTGAATGGGTCCGGGTACAATGCCCACTATCTGGTGATGACGGCACTGGAAGCCAGACTTCACCACTATGCAGTCTATGCACAGAACGACTGAACTCGCACCCTCTAAATCTAGAATAAAAAAGAAAAGGAAATCTCTCTCTCTCTCTATCGCTCCCTATCTCTCCATCTCTTGTCTCTGTCCCATCCATATTCCCATGCCCATCCCCACGTCCATCCCATCCCCATCCCCACCCTACCCACATCC